ATATAAATGAGAATGAAATAATAAAGGGGATATTTACCATGAATGATATGTTTAAAGTAGATGAAATTTTTGAATGCTTTTTTGTTGTCTCAATTTCAAGGTTTCGACCTTTCTAATTCGATTAGATTCGCATCACACATCTAATTTTGGTGTGTGAGTTTTTCATCCTAGATTTTTTGTTGGTTTTAAAAGGTGTTTATGTTGTTTTTAATTAATTAATAGTATTTAATCTATTGATTTGATTACTCTAGATTAGATTTTGTAAAGGTCTATTGTGAGAGCGATTCTTTTAATCTAATCTTCTCTATCTATAATTGTTAGGATTTGAACTCCTACATTACTTATTGACTTCCACCTCCGGCTTGTTCCACATGGAAGACTCCCTGCTAACCGACAAACCTCCATACTTCAATGGAGTCAACTATCATCATTGGAAGTAATTAATGAAAATATTCATCCAATCCAATGATCTTGATGCATGGGAGATAATCGAGAATGGCTACTCTTCTCCAAAGAATAAGGAGAAGAAGAGGAGTGACAAAAAACGGAAGAAAGCTCAACTTAATGCCAAGGCCATGCACATGCTGTTTTGTGCATTTGGTCATGAAATCTATGAAGGGGTTTCTTCATGTTCAAGTGCCAAGGAGCTTTGGAATAAGCTTGAGGAAATCCATGGAAACAAGAAAGAAGAACAAACAAAGGTGGTGTCTCTAATGGCTTATGAAGAGCCTGAGGTATCTTCTAACTCAAATGAATTTAATTCATATACGTTTGATGAGTTAAAAGATGCTTTTAATAGGTTATATTCGGAGTTTGAGACCATGAACTCTAAATATAAGAAAATGATTTCAAAATCTAAAATTGAAAACGATTTTCTTTTGAAAACAAAAATAGATTTTGAAAGCCAAAATGAAATTTTGAAAAAAGATTTAGAGCTTTCAAAAATAAATATTGATAGTTTTGAAAAACAAAATTTTGATTTAAAAGTTAAGCTTGAATGCTTAACAAAAGAAAAAGAAATCATTTTAAATAATTCATTTAGTTCAATAATGACAATATGCTCACATTGTTATTATCATGGTCATTTGGAACATACTTGTCCTCTGAAGAAAGGAAAACGCTTTAAAATTAGGCAAGTATGGGTTCCAAAAGGAACAAGGGGCATTGAAACTAACGTCCAAGGATCCAAAGCAATTTGGATACCAAAATCTACTTAAATGTCTCTTATAGGTGTGTGGGAGCAATGGTGATTAAAGTGATGATATTCAAGATGCTCTAGCCACACATGAAAAAGTAATGGGTAACCTCTAAGCTTAATATTTTTAATTTTGGTTATTTGGTTGCTCATTTGATTTTAAGCATGCATGAGTTTTGGTTTTAAATGATTATGTATCATTGTTTTAATCTCATGTATGTTGAAAAGATGATTATGATGAACATTTTAAAGTTATATTAATTTTTAAGAATTTTTAGTTCATTATAATAAAATTTTGGTCAAAATTGGGTTTAATGCAAATGATATCTCTCTAACAATTGGTATATCTCTAACAATTGATATCAAAATTTTCAAATGCATAACATTTTTGGAAAACTTTATCCATATGCACTTAATTTCAATAATTGATATTGCATAAAGTATTTTAGACTTGGATGTATTGAATTTCATGTGCTACTAACATGTTTGTTATTCTTTGTTGAAATTCAATTTTGTTTAAGTGTCAAGATCCTAAAAGCATAATTTTATTTGGAATGCATTTATTGAGGGGAGCCTTGATTTTTCAAATGATTTTTAAAATGTAAAATTTACTACTTACTCTCCAAAGTTATTTTGAACTTTAAAGATTAGAGTCTTTTGAAAAATCATTTGTTAAATCAAAGTTGTTAAATCAAGGGGTACCGATTCCCCTTGGTCAACGGTCGAAATATTTGAATTTTACACTTAGGGAACCGATTCCCTATGAGGGGTACCGATTCCCCCCATGCTCCAAGTTGTTTTATTAATGGATTCTCATCTCCAAATGGCTCCAAAACATCCCCAAGAGCTATATACGACTTCAAACACATTTCAAGCTATAAATACAAGCTAAGGACACTTGAAGAAGAAAGAGAACAACCATCCAAGCAATCAAACACAAGAAGAGTTTTTTTATTCTTATTTCATCTTTCTCTTGTATATATTTTGTTCTTGTGAGTTTAAATCTTGTAAACACCTACCTTAGAGAGGTTTTCTTGTTTACATCTTTTATCCTTTTGTAAAGGGGAAAGGTTCTAGCTTAGCCCGTGTAAAAGCTAGGGAAAGGTTCTAGTTTATCCCGGAAAAACTAGGGAGTTTGTAAGGTTACTCTTTATCCTCAAAAGAAAGAACAAATTAGTGAATTTGTTGGAAAATCTTTGGTGAGGAGCTAAGGTAGTGGACGTAGACTTTGGTTGAGAAAGTCGAACCACTGTAAATTGCTGTGTAATTCTCTATCTTTCAATCCCCTTACTCCCTAAACACAAAACCGTTCCGACCCCTCTTTGCAAACCGTTTAGGTTGTCGATTCGAGCTTCCAAAAATCCCAACAACCATCACCATTGATATCATCTCAAACCTCAAAATTCCCAAATTCCTAATCCCTAAAATCCCAAATATCCAATCTCTAAAAATAGCCCTTAATATGGAAATAAACCTTAATAGTGGTATTTTAGAGATTTGGGGGGGGGCTTTATCCTTGATTGATTTGTTGTTCAATTAATGTAGATTAGAAATTTGAAGGGGGCGAAGGGTGTTGTGGTGGGGTTATTTAAAAAAATGTTTTTAAAATAATATTTTCAAAATTATCACAATGTGACACATGTCTTTTAATGGGATTTTTTAACGACCCTCACGGTCAGGGCACCACATTAGTCACCTGGATAAATCGAAAAAAGTTTGGTCACCTATTTAGGGAAAATATATAGTTTGAGTACTTATTTTCTAATTAAGCCAAAGATAAATGGAAAAAGAAAATTGTGTAAATGAGCTTATTCATTAACATAAAAGAATCAAGCATACCTCTATTTGTATTTGTTTATTTATTAAATAAACATAAAAAGTTATTAATAATATTTATTTATGTCACTTAATAAATGAATGTTATACCACGAACAGTTTCATTGATCCTATGTTCTTTTATACCCCTGTACTTAACCAAACTATGATTTCTTTGAGAAGGAGAGGAAACAGATGAAAGGATCCAAAATAGCATAATGCTAATCAAAGTTTGAACAAACATTATGTGACCAAACCACAAATCAGTAAACAGAGGTGGCAAATTCAAGATTCCAATTCAAAAGCCAAAACCAAACTTGCATCAATATGCAGGCTGTGCCAAGATTCATGGTATCAAACACATTCTTCCAAGAAACCCCAATCACATCATTGGACTTCTAGTGAAACCCATATCACTCATTCTTTTTCTTCTTTTATAATTATGCAGAATATATATATATATATATATATATATATATATACTATTCAAAATTGCTGGAACTGGGACATGTTTGGATCGTTTTAGGTGTGCATTCTGTCATTTTCTTTTCCTTTTCATTGTGTTAAAATATCTCCATTTGCATTTAATAAGGAGATAAAATTATTATAGGTATCTCATTTGACAGCTAATTTGGTGCATTTTGAGTTGGTCCATTTTTTGGGCTGCACATGATTTCCATTTTATTAAAATTCAACCAAGGAAAGAAACTGTCTTTTTGTTACGAAATTGAAATTAATAAAAAAGATGGAGTATGGATCAAGTTATTATTCATTGAAATGTGGATAAGTATCCCTCGAGATTAACTATATATATATATTATGATATATGTTTATTTTATACACATAATATTATTTTTAATTTTCAAATCTAAATTTTAAGTGGAAATGAAATAATACATTATATCCCTTTCAAATACTGGACCTTAAAATAAATTTTAAACGAAAATGCAATAATACATTATATCGTTTAAGCATATTGCTAGTTCGAGTCCTTTTGTATGTAGAAAACTATTGCTGAGAAATTTACCCACTAAAACTATATTTGTGACGTGGCTTAATCCGGATTAATTAGGATAAAACCTTGAGAATTGGGAGGAAAACCAAAATAAATAAATTTAAATTTTGAAAGAAGAAAAAAACCTCAATGACTATTAGGTTGCTTTTGTTAGGATCATCCCAATAAAAAAAGCTTCACATGGGTCAATTAAATTAAATTAAATTATCTTTGAAATGTGTCACGGGATTTAAATTTTAATAGGGATAAGATAACATTTAATTATTGAATTTGAATTTTTTAATTTAGTTTTTTTTTTGTTCACATTAGTTTAGAATTTCATAGTTGTTTTTTTAACTTAATCTTTAATTTAAAATTTTTAATTTGTTAAAGTTTGATTACATAATATAAATAAGATTATACCATATCATCACTCTTAATTTTTCTTAAATATATTTTATAATTTTTTTATATTATTTGATTTATACATTTTATATAATTATTTTAAGTTTCTAAATAACGTTGCATAATCTCAAAAGTACGATGTCATCAGACCTTAAAGGTTTCAAGTTCGACTAAAAAAATTGTCGAGTTTTAGAATTAATATGAACCAAAAAGTATTTTGGGATTAAATAAAAAAATATATAATTTAAAGATTAAATGTTATTTCTATAATATTTTAATATTTATAACACTTTCATCTATTTTCAAATTATGCTATTTTTAAAACAAAAATAGTCCGTTGACCTTTGATTCAGTATTTTTCTATTCAATTTCTTTGTATCCTTCCTAGTTCCAAAATCAGTTATTGCATATTTTAATTTTCTTTCAATTTCAGGCATGGCAGAAACTATTCAAGAGAAGAAATCACTAAATAAATATAATAAAAATATTTCTACATTTATTTCCCTCAAATATTCCTGACTTTGATCATATATATACACTTTAGCAAGTGCTGAATTTGTAGACATTTCACCAACATAAACTCCCACAGTATGAAAACTATACTTTCATTATTGACCAAATTAACACACCAAAATTATAGAATTTTCAGGTATATATATACAAACACAAACAGAGAGACCCAATTTAGATTAATTGTATATATTTAGAACCGTTGACCAACCAGATGGACGGTCCAAATTCTCCACGGGACAATACCTTCAAATACCATCATAGTAACCACCAAATGTTATGTGAGCTCTGGTGATAGGAACCCCTCTAGCTGCAGAGATTGCTTCATTGAGTTTTGTCGTATGATGAACCACTTGTTTCATCCTCTGTAATTAGGGACGGATATAAAATTTTATATTAGGAGATGGATTTATAAATCTTAAGAAAAATATCTAAAACGTATTGAAATTTTAAGTTTTAAGGTAAGCGATAGCCCCTCTCTCGATCCATCCCTGTCTTCAACCTCAACTAATTGAAGTTGCTTGAACCACAATATTTGCTTAATGATGGGGAACCCATCTGCTGTAATTTGTAAGAAATGGTGTTGCTTTTGGATTTGGACTCCTAAAATGACGATAAAATGGGCATCTTTTTCAATAATTATTTTGCATTGTATAGGTAGTAATAACGGAGACAAAGATGTTCACATCAACATGCTTTATATCCTTATCAGAGCAGTTAAAGACATGAAATTTACATACATTCTGTCATGTAATTTGATTACCTTGTCATCGGTGTAACGCTGGAACAGCAGTTTCTGGTTCTGCTTGTGTTGCTTTTGCCTCTGTTGAGTTCCGACGATGATGATGCAAAAGGTAGCAGCAGCGACACCGAACGAACAGATTGCTCCGATTCCGGTCAGGCTCCATTTCCAGAGGCCACCGGGACCGGAGTTCTCTTCCCAGTTGGCGCCGGCTTTCTTTTCGAACGAATTGCTCAGTCTCGGAGAACTCATGTTCTGCAAAAATTCATCATCTTTTTCATCGAAATTAAACGTACCTGCTGCATCGAGTTGAGGGATGGCTCCTTTAGTAGTGGACCTCGGCGAGTCCATTTTGTTGGTCATGTCGACGGATTCATTGTTGTAACTGGGTTTCCTAAACGAAACCTGTGTCTTCACTTCTCGATCGCCTTCGACCGATTCGGTGCCGGCCTCTTTGATCTTCTCGACCATCTTCCCCGGATCATTTTCCGGAACCTTGAGGATCCTCGAAACGATTTGCTTAGGTGGAGGCTCTTCTTTGTTGAAATAATTCGCGCGAAAAACGAGATTCATATCCGAAACTCGTTTTCCTCTCTGGATTTGTTTCTCGACATCTTTATTGATGTCGAGGAATCTGTCGTCGTCAGGTAGAAGAACCCACTCATCGATATCCATATCCCGGTGAATCATTTTCTTTAGGAAATGGAATCTGACCAAATGTCGGAATTTATAGAGGAAGAAAAAGATGAATTTTTAGATGTGGAATTTTCAGTGATGGAAGCAAAGGTTAAGCCTTTATTCAAAGAGCAACACTACAGTTTGAGTACTTAATGAGATTATCCTTGTAAAGACTGACAAATTAAGAGTGGTCCAATGGGACCCACCAAGAGATACCTTCTCTTTCAGGGCTCTTCTAATGCCACTTCTGGGATATTTTTTTAATTTTTGAGTAAACTACACATTTAGTATCCGACAATCATTTTTGTTTCATTTTAGTTACCAACTATTTTTTGTTTTAAAATCGCACTTAATGTTATGTTTTGGTTTCATTTTGAACATCTGTTGTTAAAAAAATTAATGGAACTGTTGACATGGCTTTTTTTAAAAAACAAAATTCAATGATTTCGTCGCATTATCCTATGATTATACATCAGTATTGCTCTTATTTTTAATAATGAAAATCTAAAATATAACGTTAGATATGATTTTAAAATGAAAAATAGTTTGATGACTATAATAGAATAAAAGTGATAGTTGGGTTACTAAAGATATAATCTACCCTTAACTTTATATATTTCTCAACAGTTGAAAGTTTTGAACACTATACCAATTCTTTGGTTAAAGGCAAAGACAGCATTCTATGCAAAAAAGACAAGTGTTGTACTTTATTAAACATCTTTTTCATTTTTAAACAAGCAATTATTATTCAATTAGTCTCATTCTCAAGGAAGATTAAAAAGGGTGAAATTTTATCATTAATTTCTTTAATAGTTTGTAGGATTAATTTATGTGTTCCAATTTCATTAATTTTAATTTATGTATTTTAAAAAATTAATTTTGATTCAGATAATATATGGTTAATCAAATAAAAAATATAAGTTAATAATTAAGCTTAATTTAATAATTTTTATTATTTTTAAGTCAAAATCAAAATTTAAAAATTATATAATTTTAAATATCAAATTAAAACATAACAATTAATTTATAATTCAATATAATTATGAATAAAAAACATTAAATAAATAAGGCAAAAATGCATCAAAAGTCCTTGTACTTTTGAAAAAACCAATGTGGCAATTGTATTATTTATCTCTCAATGTGACTGTTGAGTTAATCGATTGACGGATTTGGCCAAGAGGGGGGTGAATTGGAAATTAAAAATTTGGTGGAAGCTTTTGCAGAAAATTAAAAGTAATTGAACAGCGATTTAGAGTGGTTCGACTTTCTCAATCAAAGTCTACGTCCACTACCTTAGCTATCCACACTAAGGATTTTCCAACAAATTCACTCATTTGTTCTTTCTTTTGAGGCCAAAGAGATAACCTTACAACACTCTCAAGAATATACCCCAATTCTTGAGAACACTCTTTCCCAAAGAGAAGATTACAAATTTGCAAACTTACAAGGAAAACCTCACAAGGTAAGATGTTTGCACAATTCTAGAACAAGAAAAGAACACTCAAAGATAATTACAAATGAGCACAAATGGTGTTCTTGAAAGCAAAATGAATATTGAAAGGAAAATTGGCTTGATTTGCACAAACTTGGTGTTTGATGCTTTCTCTCTTGTTTCTCTATGATTTTGTTTTGATCAAGGGCTTCAGAACTTGTTTAAATACACCTTGAATCACTTTTGAACATTGGGGATGATTAGTGAAGATCATATAGCCGTTTTAGTGTGAAAACAATTAATAAAACAGCTTGGAGCGTGGGGGGAATCGGTTCCCCCTCATAGGGGATCGGTTCCCTAAGTGTAAAATTCAAATATTTCGACCGTTGAACAGGGGGGGAATCGGTACCCCCTATGGGGGAATCGGTTCCCTCCGAGCATTCTGGAAATCCCGGAGCCAAACCATTCAGGGGGAATCGGTACCCCCTTGGGGGGGAATCGGTTCCCTATGAGAAATCTGGAATTTTTGGCTTTGAAATGGTTCGAAATACTTTGAAAGATTATTTTGAAATTGTTTTAAGATTAAAACTTAATTTTACACTTAAGTAAGGATTAAAAATGATTTTAGAAATATTTGGAGTAATGTTTTGATATTCGAATAATTATATCGAATATACTTAGAAAATCATTTGGAAAATCTTAAAATTCATTTAACTTAATTTGTTATATCGAAATATCAAAATATTTTCAACAATCTCCCCCTTTTTGATATAACAAAACATTTTAGTAATTTTAAGATTTTGAAATCAAGTTTTGAAATTACTCCCCCTTACTTTAACACTTCTCCCATTTATCATTTTAAAACACACTTAAAACACACACTTCTCCCCCTTTTTGTTAAATCAAAAAGATTCAAAGAAACGTAAAAAAAACATTTAGCCAATTTATTATGTATATGTATGCATAAGCTGCTAAGATCACAATCAAGAGAAACGTTAGCCATTAGTTCCATAATCAATATTCATAAACAATGTGATATGGTAAAATTGGTCATATTGCTAATAATGATGTAAATGATGCAATAATGAATAAATCACACCAAACATATAAGTTCACACCATCCATAAATCCAAACAAATTCACAATCCACAAATTCAAACATTCCAAAATATTCAAAATGTTAAAACAATAAGTTTGGAAAACATTTAATCACATATCCAGATCAGGAGGAGGAAAACGAGCTCGCATAGCGGCCATTTCGTTAGTGAGGTCATTAATACGTGCGTTGGTTACTTTATTATTTGCACGCATTTCCCGAAGAATTTCTAATTGTTGAGCTCCCATTGTGGATAAATGAGACTCTATAGAAGTAAAGCGCGAATCCATGGTCGCATATCGGTAATCAAATGTCTCCATAAAAGATTGAAAATATGAAGGCATTTGAGTCGATTGTTGTGTTTGCTCTTCGGGCTGCTCCTCGGGCTGCTCAGGTTCATCTTCAGCTTCATCGATGTCTCGCATTAATTGCTCAAGCTCGAGATCTTCGTCAGCTTCGGGTGGAGCTTATGAAGAACTAGCTCCCGGAGTAGTTGCAGAAGATTGAACCCATTCATCGGTTTCTTTATTTTTGACCCATCCCGCTCTTGTTAAAGAAAGAAGATTGATTTGTTTCTTAAGAGGAAAAGCGGCATCTAGACCAACTCGAAGCTCGGCTTTAGAAAAGAGATTACTAAGGATACAACCGTAAACTAGTAAAGAACAGAGTTTCTTATTTGGCACTAGGTTAACGGTTTCAACGATCTCAGCAAAGATAATCTCGGAAAGGTTTATTTTTATGTTGTGTTCAAAACAATGCAACCACCAAAGGTCTAAAGCTCTGAGAGTAGAATAACGACCCCCGGATGGTCGAAACCACCAAGTGATCATGAGATGAAGAAAACACTCATGAAGATCTAGAACACTTGCACTATCATTTCGTTTAAACCGTGAGCCTAAAACTTGTTTTTCATTTGATAAACCTTCATTATCCAAGCCTAAGGCATTGGCTATGTAATCCGGATCAAGATGGAAATATTGACCTAGGAGGTAGGAATGTACTCCTATGGTTTTGGTTTTGTCACAATTTTTGATACAAACGGCATTACAGTAGAAGATAAGAACAAGTTGATGATAGACAACGGGTTCAAGTTCGAAAAGTTTATCAAATTTCCATTCGTGCAAGATAGGGAGATATTTAAAGTTAATAGCAACCATAGCCTGAAGAGATGGGATACGTTCTTTCCTAATCTTATACGAGTCAAAATATTGGTAAAACCAATAACGATAATCTTTAGGACCCGGTTGATTGAAACAAGAATTTTGGATAGTCAAGTTAGGATCAAGATTTGGAATAGGATTTTGAGGAATAGGAGGAGGATTTGGAGGAGGATTTGGTTGACGACTAGATGAAGACCTAGCACGTTTAGGATTAGACATGGTGAAGGAAATCGGAATAGATTGGATAACCTGTAATTTTAAAAACAAATGTATGCAATTCAATTAATCCCAAAACTCAATTGAGTCCTCAATATTTCAAGGTTCTCTAAATCAATCCTAATGGGCAAAGTTTTTGAAAAACTTTTGAAAAATATGGTTTTGAGAAACAATATATGTATAGTTTTCATAACAACAACATAATTTAATCAAAACACAATAATTTGAAAAATAACAATTTTTTTTATTTCGAAAATTTAAAAAATTTTGGAAAATTCTTGTGTTTTTGATGAAATTAGTTGTAACATCTAGTTTCTAATCACTAATCAATCAATGCTCGATCACTATTTCAACCTAGAACTAATTAAAACTAATCCTATGTTCAAAATCAATGGAATAGAGAGTTTAGAAAAATTTACCTTGAAAGATGAAGATTGAGGGGATTTAGATGTTGTTTGCACGATTTTAATGATTCCAACAGGTTTAGAGGATGATATTTGATTCGAATTCCGATTAATATCTTTGATTTGAGGCAAAAATGGAGATTTGAGAAATTGAGAGAGAACGGCGGAAGAGTTTTGGGGTTTTGGGGTGTTCTGCCCGATTTTAACAGAACCCCAGGGGGGTATCGATTCCCCTGTGGGGGGAATCAGTTCCTCTTCAAAGGGGGAATCGGTTCCCTCATGGGGGGATCGATTCCCTCTGCACCAAAATGCTAAAATCCGATTTTTAAGCACACAAAATGCTAAATTTATCTTCTCTAGTGGTGTAGGAAACTCATATATTGAAAAATAATTATGTTCAAATAATTAAATTAATCTTTAATCGATATTTGAACATAAAATTAATTTTTCATCAAGAATCATAAACTCCCCCTAACTAATAGCAATGAATGCAATCAAAAATTATTATGAGCATTTTTCAGTATTTATTAAAAGTGATGAATTATTTTAAACACTAAGTGAAGATAGGTCAGTTAAACCTAATTCTCTCCTAAGTGTCCAAAACCTTTCCTTATCTAAGGGTTTTGTAAAAATATCCGCTAATTGATGCAAAGTATCAACAAATTCTAGAACTACATCTTCCTTAGTGACATGGTCTGTAATGAAGTGATGTCTAATTTCAATGTGTTTAGTTCTAGAGTGTTGGATGGGATTTTTAGTGAGACAAATAGCACTAGTATTGTCACACT